CTGTCTGTCTATTTGTCTGTTATTATATGAACGCATCACGTCTAAAGTAAACATCTTTTATTTTCAAAGAAATCGTTAAGAATATCATAAAGCGTATCTTCGAGTTACATTTAATCTTTGTTTTATTAAAATTGGTTAATTCTATCGAAAGTAATGATTATTATTTTGAAATGTAGGTTCGAATTTGTTCAATGGCGCCATAAAATCTCAGAAATAGTAATAAAAAGTTTTCTGTGTAAAAAAACGTTCCATAATATAATTAATATATTTATACTTAAAACACAAAAAGAGATAGGATGTTTTCTCACACAAAGGTCGTAATAGATGGAGTTGTACAAATTACAAACTTTTCTGAATTGCTGTGTTGAGATTTTTCGCCGATGTATCGTATCGTAGATGACGCCTTGACACATATGAGTATTGGTATTGTATAGTTTGTAATATGTAGTATATTGTAATTTGTATTGTATAGCCAATATTATTTGTAAATTATGTGTTTCTTATTTATGTTATCTGTGATGGCGTCATTTTGGAGAATAAACCTTTCTTTCTTTCTTTCTTTCTATTGAGACTTACTGAAGATATTTGTATCCATCGAAGCCATACAACGGAACCCGACCAAAAATAAAAATTTCGCAACGAAATGTCGTGATATTGTATTTATAATATACGCAAAATCAGAACTGCCATTTTAGCGCTTTGGGAACTAGATTTAGCACTTTTTTGGAATGTAAGTATAGCGCGCATTTCGAAATTTTAGCCCTAGCGCTTAATCCAGCGCTTTTTGGTGTATTTAGCACACATTTCAATATTTTAGCGACTAGCGGGTTATTAACTCTTTTATAGCAGCACTGTTAGTCCACATTACCGATAATAATAATAATGACCTTTATTATTTTTTCCCACAAATAGTACATTGCAGTTTATCTTTTTCAAACATATTTTTTCCACAAAACAAAGAGCATGGGAGACGAGTCCAAACTAGGATACCCTGTGCTATGGATCTCCTGGCTTCCCCTTTAGGATGATCAACTTGATTTTTTTACCGACGACTATAAGCGGGGAAATCCCCTTTATTAAAGTTTTCGTTCATGGTTTTGGCAACGCATTTATTTTGCTTTATTCAGTTTCAGTCAGTTGCTTAGAGCACAGCTAAGTTAAAAGTTACTTAGAAGTTATAACACAAAGAAACTGTGTAGCAACCGCAATCAGATGCTGACATCTGAAACTAAGTTGCGAAATACATTGCACTTTAAAACAATTAATGACATTTTTATTGTTCGTACAGTACTAACTACTGTTGACAGCAATTGCTATAATTATAAGTCGATGTCCTGCGAAGTATTGATACATCAAAAAAATATTGCCAGAAAAAAAACTTAATGTTGTTTTCTTTATTATGATTATATAAAAATACACAAACTTTGTTTGTAGTTAATTTAGCGCGAAATCTAGGGCTTTTTTAAAGCGCTGTTTTCATGAAATCTAGCGCTTTTTGTGTTGTCCTAGAGCTGAATGAGTTTTTTTTTTTATCTGGCAGCACTGCCCAAAAACCCTCTATTAAGAAGTAACTTTCCTTTCAGTTTTAAGCGCGTTCAGTTCCCAGTTACAGTGAGTTTATGTTATGCGATGACCGTAAATAAAGCGCAAGGTCAAACTTTACGCGTTGTAGGAGTGTACCTCAGTACTGACTGTTTTGCACATGGCCAACTCTATGTTGCTTTTTCCCGCGTTAGTAGCCCCCGTAACCTTTTTGTGTACACCCCGGCTAAGCCTACTTCTAACGTCGTTTACACAGAAGCTCTATCATAAACGACTTAGAACTTTGATGATAATGATTTATTTAGTTACCACTTATTGATACAGTAATGAAATAAATCGTTTAATATTCTCTTACCTAAACGACAAATTCTTTATGTAAAACCTGTATACGCGAGCTACGCCGCGGGCACAGCTAGTTTAAAATAAAACAAGATATTCATGTCATATTATGTTTTATTTCCGGTTCCGTACAGGCTTAAAACAAATGCGACCTATCTCCTATAAGGCAATTCAATTCATTACACTAATAGTTGTAGATGTATTTAATTTAGAGGTTAACAAATCGTCATATAAACAGAGCCTTATATACCATTAATAATGAATTTGCCTAGAGTAATTATATTTTCTGTTTATAAAGTTAAGGAAAGAGATTTTCACAATTTGTCCAAAATTTAGTATTTTGTGTGGGTTGTTTAACAAATGAAGATTATTGCCGAAATACATAGAGCAACAGGGTTAAAGTTTTTTTTTATTTTAATTGCTATGTGCGAGTTCCGTAGTCACAGACATTTTTGTGTATATTTTGCCATGCATAAAATTACACAGTTTTGTATCGGGAAAAAAACGCTATGGCTACTCCCCTCCGGTCAGTCGGTAGCCTGTACTGCTCTGTGCCAAAATAAATGGTTGTCTATAGTTATTTGTTATATTTACGCGAATGCTACACATAGAATTAAACTAATTTAACGGATTTTATCACGATTAACTTTTTCTTAAATTTAAGACGTTTCTACAGTCCTTGTGTCTATGAACACGAGGACTGTAGAAACGTCTTGTAAACGTGCTGTAAAGTGCACGAAAATTAATAAAAGTTAAAACTAAACGCGATATAATCCGTAAAGTTAATTTTATTCGGTGTTTATTTCCCGGTAAAATAACATAAATTTACTGACTAAACTATAACAGACAGTTACAAAACCCAAAATTAAAGACATCTACAGGTTTTTATTTTTATTAATTACTTAAAGCACTATTAGACTATAAATAACAGAACTGCAGGCACGGACTACCAAATGGTAAAATGAAAAGTTATTTGAAACAATAAGTCTGTAGAACTCTTCTGGGGGGAGGGTAGTTAATATGTATAGACAAATTTAAAAGTTAGCAGGCTCACTGTCTACCTAGATTAATTAAAAAGTATCGATAACAATCAAAAACATAAATATATTATATATACCTCAAGTCCGTACCTTGCATAACAATTTTATACTAAGAATTTCTATCAGGAATGTCTAACACTCAGTGCGTACTAATATTGGGTTTATAGTGCTTTAATCAACACTTCTACATAATACTAGCGGTTGAACCCATCACTGTTTTAAGTACTGAAGTCATATTCAATATAATAATTAATTAAATAAATAAATAATTAAGTATACTGGTAATGAGCTTGCCATTTTTTGAGATTACTTTTTTTTGGTCATGGGTTAAAATTAAAAAAAAATGCCAATAGGGGCTAGGTTTTTAGTTATTCGAGAGAATAGATATTCTTAGTCACTGTATACCATATTTTGACTAAGCACAACCTAAAATTGAATTAAATGTTTAAGTCATGTCTATTAAATAAAACTGTATACAGTACGTAAGGGAAAGAGAAACCCAATTTTATGTTTGCATCACTAGAGAAAGATCATTAACTTTTATTAAAGTCAGTAAAAATCACTTTGTCTATATCCCCTTACTGAAACTTACACTAAGTATATAGGCAAAGTAATTTTTACTAACTTTAATAAAATGGATTTTCGAAAACCTTTCAAATTTGAAAAAAAAAATAAGTTTGTACTGCCGCTAAAACAAAAGAAAATATATTTTTTATGAACTACTTAAAAAAATTGACATCATTACAGCCCAATAAGGGGACTACAGGAGCTTTATAATACCTTAAAGTATACGATCCACTGCAGTAAACAATATCAGAAAAATACCTATATGATATTTTTCAGGATATATGCTAGTTAGATAGTGTGTAGAAAAAATCACAAAAATACCATACTAATATGCAATCACTTTGATTTTTTGTCAGATTATTCTAAAAGCAACATATTAAGGAATAGTGATTTAATTTTTTAGTCCAACCAATAGATTTTTTTAATTCGCATATTCTTATTTCTGAACAAAATACGTACGCATGTGTGCGTAGACGCCTGTGTGCCGACAGTGGCGGCCGAGGCCTGATGCTGTACAGAAATTGCGTAAATATGTGCGTCCTCATACTGGGGGTACATTCGGCGATGCGATGAAATGTGGCGTATAGCGTACTCTTTAAGTACCGGTATCGCTTCCCCTTACAAACTGTATAAGAAAAACTAATTTGCAACTTTGCAAGTTTTCTACAAGCTTGATCGAATTTCAATATTCGATAGTTTTGTACTTTCTCATAACTATTAATAATTTAACGTAATATACAATTTTGGAACATTATTACATATCTAATTTATAGTTTCATTTTTCATTAATGTCCATAAATCCATTTAAAATTTAAATAAGGCATAACCGTACATTAACACAGTTACATTCTTCGATAATATATCGTCACTGACTCATCATTAAAATAACAAAGCATATTATAACTAAAATTTAAAAAAAAAATTAGTTTCTAAATAATTTCCGTCCAGCAGACTATACATTAAATAAACGATAAAATAAATAAGTAGTAAAAGTTGTAAAATCATTATTAAATAAATTATTTGTTGTGTACCCTCGAAGATAAATCTATACCTGGCAACACTGAAAAGGATTTTAATCAGTCTCCTTGCAGCCGTTTAAGAAGAAAAAGTTTCTTTTGTACATTAAAAACATATCGTGATGTCTCAAACGATGATTATTTTTAAATTTACCTAGCATATTTTGTAACTGTTAATTTAAGTCGAATTTAACAAATATACATACATTCATAAATACAGTTAAAGGAATATTCTTTGTTGTTTTGGCGGAGCTTGTAACCCCGAATAGGACTATTAAACAATTGACTTCAATCCGCCGCCTGGTATATTTCTTCAAATAAGATAAATGTTTTAATACCATTTCGGTAATTTATGATAAGCGATTATTTCGAAAAAAAAAACACGCTCAGTTAGTGTTGCTATGGATAAAAATTACACAGCTGTCGTATTGACATGTTGATTTCTTTCGGTATCTACGAGGGTACATAGGAACTGAGGAAGAAAAAATGAAGATTTTCACTGTTGGTCCTCCATGGCGTTTTTCAGTTCCATGGCGAGCTTGTAGCCGAGTTCCGGTCGTCTGTCGCGACCCTCCACCATAGCTAGTACCTGTTATTTTGAGAAATCTGTCAGACTGGTGTCAAATGTAACTGGAAATAATTCCTGATATCAAACGCTATCTAGTGGCGCTGTTGTCGCGCCACAAGCGAAAATATACCGAAGCCTAACTCGCGCTATCAAAGTTCCGAAGTAAAATCAATATATATAGAATAGCTCCGAACTACCACTTGGGAGTGTTGACAACTCCCCGGGCAAAATATCTTGCCCGGCGGGAGATTTCCCTTTTTCCTTTCACCGGCTACACTGTGTGGTCTCCGTACCGAGAATCGAACGCGGGCCTCCTGGACGAAAGTCCTTGTACAGAAGCTTCGATGTATTTTCGCTTGTGGCGCGACGACAGCGCCGCCACAGCTATATTGCCTGAGACATGACGGTTTTTGCGCGAATATTGCCATTGTCTTTTGTATTCGACTTGCCATAAAAAGAGAAGCTATTAGAAATACTGCTCTTCTGTTATCATAGATATAGACTAGTGCTATCAATGTAAGACACGAGTCTATAGAAGGCGTGTACGTAATACCACTAACCCTATTAAAGGACAAGCATTCACGACAAAAATCTTAATAAAAAATGTATCGGTTTGATATCTACGTGATTCCGTAACTCTGAAGAAAGTCAGTATCCAGTACTACAGGCTGATACGCCATTTTTGGTAGATTTGGTTTGCTTAGATTTAAAGATAAATTGTAATATTTTATAAGTTTTGGTTAATATCTATGATACTCTGAATCTGAAACGAGTATAAACTTACTCTATGTCGACCAGGTTCACTCCGAAATGAGCTTAGTAGGATTTGAGGAGCCGTTGCAACGTAGGCTACGTGCCTGACTGGAGATGACGATGATCCCATGGTTGCTGACGATGGTGGCCTTGGTGCTCTCGATGTCGACAAGGTCCACTCCGAAATGAGCTTAGTTGTATTTGAGGAGCTGTTGCAACGTGTGCTACGTACTTGGTCGGAGGTGACGATGACGCCGTGGTTGTTGATGATGGTGGCCTTTGTTTTTTCGATGTCGGCCAGGTCCACTCCTCGGCTGGCGTCGTCGATCAGCACCGCGCGGTACCCGATGGCCAGGGCGTCTGCTATTGTTGCACCTTGTACACCAAATCCAAGGCAAAAATAAATGTATTCATTTTACCGTTACTGTTACAACCGAAGTTCATTGCTAAACATAAGCCTCCCCCATAGATTTCCTCATGAGGGGGGGGGGGGGCATGTTCAGCAGTAGACTTCAATAGATTGTAACGGTAATGGTAAACTAAAAAAATATGTTGTGTTTTTAATAGAAGTGGAGGAAAACAAACGTGCGGCTCACCTGATGGTAACTACCGCCGCCCATGAACAACTGCAACACCAGGGGAATTCCAAAATTGGAAATAAATAAAATATTCTTGCCATTTGCCATAGTTGACACATTTGGTGAGCGTGTTGGCAACCGCATTTTTTTATTTTTACGTGGTATATACATGCTGCAGCTCTCTCAGTATACCAGCGTAAAATTGAAAATTTATTTATTTCTCCCCACAAAACCACAAAAATGTTTTCACTAAACTTAAGTAGCTATTAAACAAGAATGATTGTGGATCGTTGGTGCCTGAAGTAGGTAATTAAAACCTGAGTTACAGGTCATCAGGCCTCCATCTTAGTGACCAATAATAGCTAGCTGTATAATAATAGTTAGCTTAATGCTGCTGTGTTTTTTATGGCGAGGGTAGAAGAAGCGGTGACCCTTTTTACTGGGAACGAAGCATTTCATTATAGTTCTCAACGGTTTGATGTAGATTGCAATGGGCCACAGTATCCACTTACCGTCAGTAGGATTTAGCTAGTTTATCACCCATATTCTATAAAAAAAAGTCCAAAGCAAATATAATTTATCCATTATAAATAAACATTTGACTTTAATAGGCTGTAAAGCCTATTAAAGTATTAGGAAGACGCTGCTGCCCATCTCCTGATTTGTTTCCTTTTGTCGCCTCTTACGACACTTAGAGATGATATGGGATAGTGGATATTCTTACACCGCCACTACACGGGTTTATTCAGTTTAAGCTCATTTAATAATCTGACTTTCGGCCAAATTTTGCGCCCCTGCCCTCCGCCGCGCGCGATCCGTCGCAGTCCTCACACACCGTAACCAACTCTTTGATCCTTTAGCTATCGAATGGTGTAATTAAATTTTGGATGTAGATGATAGATATGTAACTGCAATACTAAACTGTATGCTCCGACTTTTTTATCATCAGTTTTGTGAATTGCCTCCCACTATGGAAACAAATTTTACACGACATGGACGTTATACAATTATGTTATACAACCCTGCCAACTATCGGCCAATTTCAATTACCCCCATACTCTGCAAGATTATGGAGTGTATATTGAACGCTCACCTCATGGCATACCTAGAGCAGAATAATCTCAGTGATCTCCAGTACAGGTTACGCCGAAATCGATCAACTGGGAACTTCTAGCGTGTGCCACTCTCATATGGGGCGAAACCCTCGAGAACAGTCGTGAAGCACTTGCTGTTTCCCTCGATGTCACGAAGGCCTTTGACAGGGTTTGGCACGCTAGTCTATTGGGAAAGCTTTCAGCGTACGGCTTATCCCCTGGCCTGATTGTCTGGATGAAGGACTTTCTGAGTGAACGGTCCGTTCTCTCCGCAACTCTCTTCCTGCTGCATATAAATGATCTGCTCATTCTCGGTATCTATGGGTATGCAGACGACAGCACAGTTGTTGAGAGATACCATCCAAGTGCCCGGGGCAGTCGGGATCAAATCCAGTCTTAAAGAGAGGCTATGGTTGAGCGTGTTAATCTCACACTACAGACAGTTTCCGAATGGGGCGATGCCAAATCTCGTGAGATTTAACACCTCCAAAACACAAGCGTGTCTTTTCACCGCTATAAGGAGCCCACTTACCCTGGCTCCTACTTTCCGGAATGTGTCCTTGGAGTACACTGACCGCCTTCAATTGTCAGGAGTTGAATTTTCTCCGAAACTCAACTATGGGCAGTTCGTTGAGTCCAGAGCCAAAGCAGCCGCAAGGAAACTTGGTGTCCTTGCAAGAGTGCGGCGATACTTCACGCCGGGGCAGTTCTTACATTATATAAAGCGCAAATCCGGTCGTGCATGGAATACTGTTGTCGCATATGGGCTGTTGCTGCAAAATGCCACCTGGCAGCGTTGGACTCAGTGGAGAGACGTGCTAAGAGGCTCATTGAAGACCTTGATTTGGTTGAAACCAATCTTGTCAGCCTCGAGCACAGGCGCAGAGTAGCCAGTCTCTCGATATTCTATAGGATGCATTTCGGTGATTGTGCGTAGCAATTACACGCTTTAATTCCTCCCGATCCTTTCCACCATCGGCCAACCAGGCGGTCGGCGGGTCTTCATCCCTTTGTTGTCGATATTCTACGCATTAGAACCAAACGGTTTGCTTCGTCTTTTATAATGCGTACGGCAAAGGAGTGGAATAATTTGCCGGCGTCTATCTTTCCGTCCGAACATCTGGGTGTCTTCAAGGCAAGAGTGAATAGGTTTTTGTTACGCTAAGACAGTGCGATTTACCATCTAGGGCTGCATCACCATTTATCACCAGGAGGAATAGTGGCCAAGCACTGGTTTATAATAAGTAAAAAAAAAATGTATAACGTCCATGTCAATCGACGGATTCAATTTGGCTGGGCAGCGTTCGGAAAATTACGACAAATCTTCTCGTCAGGCACACCTCAAAACTTGAAAACAAGACTGTACAATCAGTGCGTGTTGCCAGTGATGACCTATGGTACTGAGACGTGGTCCTTCACTGCTGGCTGTATGAGGAAGCTCAAGGTCGCTCAGCTCATGGAGAGGGCTATGCTCGGGGTTTCTCTGCGTAATAAACTTAGAAATGAGGGTATCCGCAGTAGAACCAGCGTGAACGACATAGCCCAACGTAGTAGTAAGCTGAAGTGGCAATGGGCTGGCCATATAGCTCGAAGAACTGACAACCGATGGGGAAAAAAGGTTCTCGAGTGGCAGCCTCGTACCGGTAGGCGAAGTGTAAGGCGTCACACCACTAGATGGAGTGACGACCTGGTAAGATATGCAGGAAGTCGATGGATGCAGGTGGCTCAGGACCGTGCTTTGTGGCATTCCTTGGGGGAGGCCTATGTTCAGCAGTGGACTTGTGAAGGACTGTAATGATGATGATGATGATGATAATGAAAACAAATAGACGTTTCACGTTAAAATATTATTAAACTAAGATTGTAAAAAAGGGTTATTATAATATGTTAAATTTATACGTGGTAGAGCCATGCTGCAGCTACATTATGGTTGTAAGATGAATGTGACGGCTCGACTGGGGAAGGACCACACTCACAGAATACCAGTGTAAAATAGTAGCTTAATGCTGCTGTGTTTCGTATGGTGAATGTAGAGAACCGGAGACCCTTTTTACTGGAAACGAGGCATTCCATCTTTGTTCTCAGGGGTGACAACGCATCTGCATTTTGATTCTTAATCTTTTTGTGTGCTCGTTTGTCACCCTTATACCATAAAATTTATATTAAAGATTTTTTGAATGATAATAACCCCTGGCAATGAGGTGATCGCTACCATGCTAATTCTTAAAAATAATGTCCCGCTGGAAGACGGGCTTTTTTCCGAACCAGTGGTAAAAGCTTTCAATGTTATTAATGACTTTCAATAACTATTTTTGTAATCTATATTGAATATAATTATTATACCACCGCCCATGAAAATATAGTTATTTTCATGGGCGGCGGTAGTCACTTACTATCAGGTGAGCCGCATGCTCGTTTGCCCCCTCTCCTATAAAAAAATATAACAATGATTCTATTCTACAACAGTCTTTCTCACCTACGCACACGTCATAAGCGAGGCCACAGATGTAAATGTCTGTGGCACCGCGGTTTCGCAGCTGCAAGCTGAGGTTTGTGTCGGTCAGCTTCTTGTTGTCCCAGAACACGGAGTACGAGTCCACCTCCGAGTTGGTGCCCTTGTACACCTTCACCGCGCCATCTACCACCTGGAATAGGGGCGTATTTTTGTTAAACGGATGTACAAATGAACTTTATTACGTGGTAGAGCCCTGCTGCAGCTATATCATGGTTGTAGCACGAACGAGTCGGCTCGTCCGGAGAAGGGCCACGCTCTCACAGAATACCAACTGAAAATAGCAGTCCAATGCTGTTGTGTTTCGTATGATGAGTATAGAGAACCGGAGAACCTTTTCAATGGTAACGAGGTATTCCATCGTGGTCCTTAGGGGTGCCAGCGCATTTTGATTCTTAATCGAGGATAAATATAGATGTCTATGGGCCGCGGCATTTACTTGCCGTCAGGTGGTCTGTGTGCTCTATGGCAGTGGCTATGGCAGTTCATGGCCAATTTCAAACAAAGAAGTCTACAGCTGCATTGACTTGGACTAAACTGGAATGGAGCTAGTAATTATACCGACTCTCTTGTAGTTTAATTATTAAAGATAATTTGTGATGACTAATAGAATAAGATGTTACTTGGCAAAAATCCATTAAACATATTAAAGATGTTAAAAACTGATGGTGACCACCGTGGGGTTTTAGCTGGTAGGAGTCTGGTATAACCTTTTTGTTGCTCCCGCAATGAAAGGTATATGGATACCCCAGAAAAGGTGAACGCACATTTATCCACACTGTACGCAAATCTTTAGTAAGGCCAACAATTTTTGCAGTTATTTCTAACCACTGCACTGTTGTGAAAAGGAAAAAAAGGAAAATGTTGCAATAGCCTGCTTATTGGAAGAGAAAGAGAAATTAAAATTCGAAGAAAAAGAAGATTCTGGACTCACAATATTCATTTAAAAAGGCAGGTGCATGTCTTGTCTGACAAATCATTGTTATCTACCTACATAGTAAAAGTAAATACTTTTGAAATGAAGCAAAAATATATTTCGAAACGTGTAAGTGATTTAATTGTGGAGTGATCATCTCTAGAAAAAACACCAGCCACTAAAATCGAAATTTTTCCACGAGGAGGGAAGTCGAAACCACCAGTTTTAGTAGAAAATTTACTAATAGAGGGAGAGCAGGCGTCGAGCACTATTAAATTTTTTAAATTAACGAGTTTTTTCAAATCGTTTGTCACGGTTTTAGCCCCCACTGCCCTGTCTGCCATTTGGTCAATTGTTTTATTTATGTTTAAATATTAAAATTTTAAATTTATGTACTGCGATGCGATTTATGCTTGGCTGCACGTAAGCCCCGAGCATATTATCTGCCAACATTTTTCCTCGTTTCTTCAATATAAAAAAAGTTGTTTCCGTAATTCGAATCCGTGTGCCTTATACATTTTTTCGGCCCTCATGTTTAACCGCACGTCCCGCTTTATGCACTAACTTCACGCTGGCATACAGGCAAATTTATGTTCGGTTTCACCAAAGGTTTCTTTTTTAATACAAATCATCCGTGTACCTGATGCGGACTTTTTTATGTAGCCAGCTCTTAGACCGTAAGTTGGCATTATATCCGTATCCGCATTATATGACGTCATCAACCCGTACCCTTCAATATTTGGATATCTATCGCATTTTATAAAATATTGTGTGCACGGTGCGGGTGAAATGTGTGAGGTTTCATATGATTTCATACAACGAATTATAAAATACTGCGCGTACGGACCGTGTCGCGCGTACGGTGCCGATAAATGTGCTTTCACCTTAATAGAAGAAACAGGCGTATAACGAGTGAAAGTAAAGCATGGCCAATGAGCGACGAGGTGAGGAGACAAGGCTACCTTGAGGTCGTTGCTGAGCTCGGCGCCCCAGGTGTCCTGCACGCAGTGGCGCGGCCACAGGCGCTGGCGCATGGGCGGCGGGCCCGCGAACACCACCGTGTCGTACGCCTGCGCCTTGTCCGCAGACACCTGCCGCCGCCTCCAATGTATCAACACTTTATAACAGTGCTCAAGTGAACCTACTGGACGGTAAGCTCACAGAATACCTTTACCGTTACAACCAATTAAAGTCCTCTGCTGAATATATGCCTCCATTTGCCATACTTGCCACGCTTGGCAAGCGGGTTGGCAACCGCAGTTTTTTTTAGTCGTTATTAGGAATACGCTGATGCCCATCTCCCGATTTGTTTCCCTTTGTCGCCTCTTACCCACGGGATAATATGGGGTAGTGAATATGCTTACACTGGCAGTACACGGTAACTCACAGAATATAAAGGTAAAACTCCAATTTTTTAAAGATTTTTTATAACAGAGTGGTACAGCTAAGCCACTAGATAGTAAGCTTTTTTTTATAGAATTAGGATGACAAGCGAGTACAGAGCCCACTTAATGATAGCCCACCTCAATGCTGCTGTGTTTCATAAGGTAAGTATAGAGAACCATTCACCTTACGAATTCCATCTTAATATTCAAGGGGTGACAACGCATCTGCATTTTGATTCTTAGTCGAGGATAAATTTAATCTATAGGCCACAGCATCTACTTACCATCAGGTATGCTCATTTGTTACCGTGGTTGTTGTCGTTTGCCACTGTAATCCCAGCTATTTTCATAGATTTGTAACTTGCTTAATAGTGGTTATTAATACTTATTAATCAAAAGGATTATGACTGCTGCACGAATGAGTTCGCTCAATTAGGAAGGACCACACTCTCACAGAATAGCAGCATATAAATTATAAATAAAAAAAAAACGTATCAGGAACCACCAACCAACAGTGGTAGAGCCACGCGGCAGCTTTTGCTGTCGCACGGATGGGCCGGCTCGAACCGGGGTAGTACCACGACCTCACAGAAAACCAGCGTGAAGTAGAAGTTTACCTCTACGTTTCGCTTGGTGAGTGCAGGTTGCCGGAGGCCCTTTTTACTGGAAATGAGGCATTCCATCTTAGTCCTCACGGGTGACAACGCATCTAAATTTTGATTTGTAACAGAGGATAGATTTAGATGTCTATGGGCCGCAGCAACCACTTACCATCAGGTGGACTTTGTGCTCGTTTGTCACCCTTAATCCTATAAAAAAAAAAAAAACAATCTACATAAAAGTCAGGTCTTCAATTACAAGAGAATGTTAAGGTTCGTGAATTCTCACCGGACTAGAGACGTGCAATTCCCGCAAATGCACATTGTCGATGAATGACACGTGGTCCGGTGGATGCCAGTCCAGGGAGTAGAACACGCAGTCGAAAGGCACGGTCTCCAAGAGACGATTAATAGGCTCCACCACCTGTGGGAGAAGTTATTTAAAATATACTTCAATCCATGTATATAATATATGTATAGACGGCTCCGCGGCGCAGTGACTTGGCAATGAGTTGTTGCGCTGGGGGCCGCGGGTTCAAATCCCTTACGGAACAAGTATTTGTATGGCCTACAAATAATTGTTCCGGGTCTGGATGTTTGTCTTCGAAGCAATTAATGTTTGTAAGCTGCCTCCACGATACAGGTGAAAATCCTAGTGTGAAGGTAACGTTCTTTATTTAAAAAAAAAAGAAAAAAACATAATATGGTATATAAAGGGTAAAGTTATAGGAAACGACGATAAATTCAATTAATAATTTAATTCTGAAGTGACAAACGAACTTACAGTTGACCTGATGGTAAGTGAACAACTGCAGTCCATGAACACCTGCAACTAACTTCAAACAAAGAACGCTACAGATGCGTTGTCACGTTCAGAACGGAACACAGCAGTGAAGCGCTGCAGAAATAGGTAAGAGAGTGGTTCTTATCCAGATTCCTAGGCAAAAAAAGAGTCCTAAAATATAGAAGTTTTAAAGTTTTTTTTATTTTGTCTTTCACGCTTCTTTACGACGTTTGACGATGTTTTTGCATGATAGAGCCATGCTGCAGCTATATTATGGTAGAAGTAGGACTGCTGATCATGAGGTTCCGGGTTCGAATCCCGAGTCGGGCCAAAAAATCTTATTGAGTTTTTCCATCAAGAAACTCTCAATAGCTGCCCAAAGTCAGTAAGCTGGCAGTGTCTCACCCCCGTGCCTCGGAAAGCACGTAAAGCCGTAGGTCCTGCGCGTGATCTCTCTCCGGTCGTGTCGGGTTACCGTCCCATCGGACTATGAGAGTGAAGGAATAGATAGTGCACCTGTGCTTGTGCATACACTTCGGCACTATAATCCTGTCCTGCGGCGATGGCTAGTCTCCGTTGAGGCTGGGCGCCGTGACCGAAATCCGGTCTGGAGGACATTATTATGGTAGGAGCACGGAGAAGGACCACGCACTCACAGAATACCAGCGTAAAATAGCAGCATAACGCTGCTGTGTTTCGTATGGTGAGCGTAGACAACCGGAGACTCTTTTTACTGGAAACGAGGCATTCCATCTTAGTACTCACGGGTGACAACGCATCTGTATTTTGATTCTTATTCCAGGATACACTTAGATATCTATGGGCCAGAGCAACCTTATTTTATTTAAAAAAAAAAGATTTCTTTCACCGCCGAGCACGTGATAAAACAACCCTTAAAATTCAAATATTTTCGCGTTCTATGAAATTTAAGGCGTGCGTTTATGAGGTACCTACCACGGCTCAGGTACTATAACATGTGCGCTGTAACAATTGTCAAGCATAAAATGCAATCAGCCGTGACTTATTAAATGTGATCACTGGACCGGATCACATTGTACCACAAATAATAATAAGGTCACCGAATAAGTAAAATTGACTCGACTCGTAGGAATATCCTAAACCATCTCGTGAGTGTCGCATTAGGCGATAAAGAAAAGTGAAACAGGAGATGAGTAGCCGCATTTTCCTGATAATAACCGAAAATAATCAAAAAGTTTTTATACGTGGTAGAGCCATGCTCCAGCTATATTTCTGGTATAGTTGTACACGAATGGGTCGGCTCGACCGGGGAAGGACCACGCTCTCACAGAATACCAACGTAAAATAGCTGCTTAATGCTGCTGTGTTTCGTATGGTGAGTGTAGAGAACCGGAGACCCTTTTTACTGGAAACGACGAATTCCATCGTAGTCCTCACGGGTGACAACGCATCTACATTTTGATTCGTAATCGAGGATAAATGTACATGTGTATGGGCCAGAGCAAAAAGTACGGTCGTCAACCCGGGTGCCAATCATGACAACCATGGCAAAATCCTAAGAGGGTTATGAAGTTTATGGTCACCAGTCGACTTTTGATAGTCAGTAATGGATAAAATAAACCACGTTTACTTGTCAAGTGTGGCGAGGAAGGTAATTTTTTTAAAAATATGTACATTAACCCACACACTGGGATATTCTCTTGTAACGGTAGAGGCAGTTTACATACATAAATTTCACAAGGACAAAAATCCAGGCCCGAAACAATTATTTGTACCACCACGGAGCCGTCAAGCAGTTTTTTTTATAGAATATGGGTGACAAACGAGCACACAATCCACCTGATGGTAAGTGGATACTGTGGCCCACAGACATCAACATCTATCCTCGATGAATAATTAAAATGCAGATGCGTTGTCACGCGTGAGAACTGAGATGGAATGCCTCGTTTCCAGTAAAAAGGCTGTCCGGTTCTCTACATTCACCATACGAAACAAAGCAGTATTAAGCTGCTATTTTCTGCTGGTTTTCTGTGAGAGCCTGACCCTCCCTCGGTCGAGTCGACCCATTCGTGTTAGAATAGAATAGAATTTTTTTTTTATTTCTATTATTAATACAGATGCAGCATGCCTCCACCACGTATATATAGCTGTAGCATGGCTCTACCACGTTTTCAGCAGTGTTTATGTAACTCTGGTGAGAATCGTGGTTGGCTTTGTTTTGGCTTGTGACGTATAGTTTCGTTGTATTGCGTAAATGTATCAGTATCGATTATAAGCCTGTGTTTTCTATATAAATTATATCTCATTTTTTTAGATAACCCCGTGCGCAACGCGAGGAATCAGATAACAGGTCTTATTTATAATTTTTTTTTGTTATTTTGTAGTAAATTGTGCTAGGATTCATAACAATTATACGTAACTTTTATTTATACTAGCTGATATCCGCAACTTTGTCCGCGTTGCTTGGTATATTAACAAAGTTTTCGTATGTGCCGAAGGAAAAAACATCAAAAAAATCGCAAGCAGAAATATACTTTACTTGCAAAATCGTTGTTTCTTAAAACTTTAATTAACTTTATATTAAATGAACATATCGCAATAATTTTCTTCTTCGAATTTCTCACACACATTTAAAAAAAAATATAGAGTCGAATTGAGTACCTGCTCCTTTTTGAAGATGGTAGAAAAATTAGTAATATGCTTTTAATTATTTTTCTACTAACTTCAAAATGGAGCCGGTACTCAATTCGACTATTTTTTTTTTAATGTGTGTTACCTCATAACTTTGTACTGGGTCAACCGATTTCGATGATTCTTTTTTTATTTCAAAGCTGGTGCTTCACATGTGGTCCCATATATATTTAATCAAGGTCTGACCAATAGTTTTTGAGTTATTCTTAATAATTTATATTGAAGTCGGTTGTACAAAGATTTTAATTTTAAATTATTGTTCCTCTTTATGCTAAATGTTTAACTTAACTCTACTTGCTTATAAAAGTGGTAAAATTAAAACAACTGGCTTCAATATAAATAAAATAAGAACATAATCAATGTAGACGAAGTCTGTAAATACGCATTATTAAGGATAACTCAAAAACGACTGCTCAGATCTTGATCAAATTTATATGGGACCACATGAGAAGCACCAGCTTTCAAATAAAGAATCATTAAACTCGGTTCACCTAGAAAAGAATTCTGAGGTAACACATAAAAAAAAAACAGTCGAATTGATTACCTCCCCCTTTTTGAAGTCGTTACAAAATAGGAGGAAACTATAGTATGGACTGCCCGTCGGCACACGTTCCTGGCTGTCTCAGTTTCTAGTGAATGCTTCATTTTTTTTTCTTCGTTTAAATTTCACTAATTTATTTATTCTAGGTGCTGAAGACGGTTTTTGTCATTACTGAAAATCACCTTTGTGATTTCGCCACAAGCACATAACACAATTACTCTCTACCGAGAGGCCACAAGTCATACAGTGCGATGACGTTTTTAACCCTTTGACGTACAAAGTCAAATTGATTGAATTTATGCATAATAATGTTCTATACGTCAATGGTTTTTTCCCAAAATAAAGTGTGTAAATTCTTAACATTATTTTAGACTAGCAACCCGGCCCGACTTCGCCTGGATATAATCTATTAATGTGGCATTATTTAGATAAGTTAGAATGGTCGAACCGATTGCGCTGAAACCTTACGAACAGATAAGAGAGCAATTCCAGGATTGATCTAAACACTTAGGTACGGCACCGCACCGTTAACGAAACACGTCATCATTATCATTACATTCTGTTAAAAGTCCACCGCTGAACATCCTCTTTAGGGTAATATTTTTCTTTTTATAGAATAAGGGTTACAAATGAAAAAAATTGACATTGGTAGAGCCATGCTGGAGCTATATTAGTAGAATGGTTGTAGCACGAATGGGTCCGCACAACCGAGGAAGGACCACGCTCTCACAGAATACCAGCGTAAAATAGCAGTTTAACACTGCTGTGTTTCGTATGGTGAGTGTAGAATACCGGAGTCCCTTTTTACTGGAAACGAGGCATTCCATCTTAATCCTCACGGGTAACAAGGCATCTGCATTTTGATTCGCAAACGAGGATAAATGTAGATGTCTATGGGCCATCCACTTGCCATCAGGTGGACTGTGTGTACGTTTGTAACCTGATCCTATAAAAAATGAGCACACGGTCCACTTGATGGTAAGTGGATGCTGTTGCCCATAGACATCTACATCTATCCTCGATGAAGAATCAAAATGAAGATACGTCGTCACCTCTGAGGACTAAGATGGAATGCCGTGTTTCCAGATCTCTACGCTCATCATACAAAACACAGCAGCATGCTCTCACAGAATACCTGCGTTAAATAGCAGCTCATCTGTGAGTGCATGCTCCTTCCCCGGTCGAGCCGCTCCATTCGTGCTACAACCATAATATAGCTGCAGCAAGTCTCTACCACAAATATATTTGCATATATTTGCCACACATTACATTTGTATACATTTGCCATAGTTGTCCTGCTTGGTAGCTGGGTTTGCAGGCGCAGTTTTTTATTATTTTAAATTGATATCTGGAAAATAACATTCATTTATTTCCCTCGGTCACCTCACGGGATGACAGACTAATCCACTTGGACTTTCTTAGGCCTCTA